CTTCCCCAACCTTTTTTTCTGCATTTTATCATGAGCACAAATAATAACATCTGCAGGGAGTAATTAGTAACACCCAGAGGGGAAAAGAGTTCTGCCAGAGGACATCATTATGTCTGGAAAACTAAAGATGCTGTATGGTAAGGTCATTAATAAATTGCTTGAGTCTAGAGTAGGGGAGAAGACCGGTGAAAGTACAAAGTTTCCTACTGCTGCTAATATGCTTATGAAGAGCCCATTAATTTCCACTGGAACACCATTAGGGAAATTAGTTTGTTCTGACAGTTTGTGTTGCTGGATACCATATGTTTACCTTGAGGGAATGTTTGTGGAGAACCACTTTGGGTTAATTGTAAATGTCACAATTAAATAAGTAAATATACAGAACGGTAGCTGTGATCTGCACCAGCGCACAGACACTGTGTACCAGCGCGCTGCTGTGCCGCGCCATGTGTGTACGTATCAATATAGACTTGTAGGCACTAAATCCATACCGACCAGCTTATCCGGACACACAGACATTGGGTACAAACACCTCCTGTGTTTTGTCTTTCTGATCTGTTTATCATTACATACATATGGCACTGCACCGTGGTTTTTTTTATTTAATGCCTGCACTGAGAGCTCCGAGACCCCAGCATCGAGCTTCCCTGTTGCTGGTGCCAGGTGCTGCCCCTCTAATTCATCTGGCACAGAAAAGGCGAGGAGAAGGAGAGGGAGGGAATCGGATACTGTGTTAAAAATCTCGGATTATTTGGAGTCACGTTACAGATTACCACAGGTTCAAATATTTTGCCTTTTAGTGGTGTCAGTCCCCCCTTGTAATCTGCAGAGGAGTGGAGGATTTTCAGCACCTTGACGGACGGAACCTAAGAACACTCAGACAAGCCCCTCACATAGGTTTTTATCATGCAAACTTGAGGCCAAGGTCAATAACAGCCCCCTTAGTCTTCTGCATTGCAGAGGCCTCGAAAAATTGATTTTCTGTTTTGCCACTGACTTCAGTGGAACCCAGCTTTAGCCCTCCAAGGCAAATTTATTCCTGTAGATGGCAGTTACTTCTGAAAGTCTGAATTTCACATCCTTAAACAGTCAAACTTGGAGACAGAGCAGGCATGGGCACAGACTTGGCTGGGTGTTGTTGACCTTTGCTGGGTTATTAGCTCCCTTTATGATCTGGGAGACCGTTTTTTTTTCCTTTGAAAATGCATTCCAAAGATTTAAAGGTCTGACCCAAAATGTACAGGAGTAAATACAAATCTTTGTATTGAACACCAGAAAAGAATCTTAAAGGGAGTTGGTCACTGTTTACAGTAGGAATGTATTTTTAACAGAAACAAGAAATCTAATCTGTTAGGGCATCATTAATCCAGGGAAAACCCTTTCTGAAGCGTCCAGAGCTTGTTAACACGGTTAACACCTAAGGCAGCAGTGTGTCTTTCAGCTCGACTAATATTGTACAATAATAATTTTTGTGGAAGCAAATCTTCCCCTCTCCCTAAACAGAAACAAGACATATTATTGACTGCCATCCGGAAAGATGTATGCGCTGGCCCTCGTGAGTCTATTAATATTTGATGCTGATGGATGGGAGCTGGCAGCCTGCGTTATTAATGGGGTTTGGTTCCTTGGACCCAACCCTCCATACACAGGGGAGAATTAACAGTCACGAGAACTCTGTGCCCAAACCTCTCGTGGTGCTGGAGCGGGCTGTCGTTTAGTTTCAGCAACAATTAGTATTTCTGAAGTACTTAGAGGGACAGAAGGTCGTAGAGGTGGTGAGTTACCTTATTGCCACCGTTCATTTTGATTTAAAGCTGACTTTAGGGTCCCAGGGATCATTTGTGCCTTTGCTGTGTTGGGATACTCCCATCAGATTTGGATTTCAGACAAAAAAAGGCTCATGTTAGCTTCTGGGAGCTGGGAAGGTGCAATGCAGAGCCCAGGGCGAGAACATGCTGCTGCACACACGGAGCAGAACACTTACTGGAGCTGGTCCCAATCCCACAGTAAAGTCTTTCTATTGATGGTGTTAGAGTCAGATTTGACCCCTGAAATTAGGAATTAATACATTGGAGAGATTTCAGAGGTATGCTTAGATAAACTGGGCCTTCTGAGTGAAAATGATAAAGAAAATGAAGCACTTTTGAAAGTTTGTGATGTCCATATGGATCGTTCTGACTTGGAAAACAGAGATGTAAAATACCAAGTTATTTATAGCTAGATTTCTTAATATAGCTTTAACATTTCCAGGGGTATATGTTTGGCTGAATTAGCTACTCCTTCCTATCATGTGCACCACAAACAGGCATTTCACTACTCCCATTAACCTCCCGAACTTAATAGAAAGAAGAATAATCAGCATAAGGAGCACAGCTGCTGATTAATTTTACTAAATAGGGTAGAAATATAAAGTACCATATTGCAAGAGTGAAGATTCAATACACAACGTTTGAAATCCGTTTAACGGAGTATGTAACTCATTAACAACTGGATAGACGTACGCTGCGGCGTTATTCACTTGGGCAGGTGGCGAGAGGGAGGTGGAATTTACATAGCTCCAGCGGTACCTGAGTGCATTTCATTTCATAGGTCATTCTCCCAAATCAGGTTCAGAATGTTAATAACGGGGTGTGCATTTGTAATTAATAAAATCTTCCAGCCGGCGCTATAGTTCAAGTGCATTTTCCTCTTATGTAATTAAGAAGTTAAGTGTATTTGGCAGTTGTCACTCAGAGAGCTCTGAAGGTCTCGCTTCTCAAACCCAGGGACAGAAATCTCATTAAGACAGTTATTTTTTCAGTTAACGTTTGTTTGTATAAGGTGGACAGCCAGAACGATCAGCCCCTGTTAGTCCATAACGTACAGTGTGTTAAAGCAAATGCCAAACCTGGAAGGTGGGTTGAAAAAGGATGACAAAGCCTGATGTGTAGCCTGTATACAGTACTTTCTCTTTGGGATACCCAACGTGTCTGTGCCTGGCTGTCCTCTACACAAAGTCTACAGAAAACCAGTGGATCTCCACCAGCCCATCATGCCCATGGCCAGTGTGACCTTGCACATCGCATGAGATGCTCTGTGGTCACCGGGAGTCAGCTGGGGAACTGGAAATCCACCTTCTGCTTCCTCCCATGGCCCAGATGCTGGTTTAGTTGATCTGGTTCCCAAGGGGATATTTTAGCTCTGCATCACTCTGTTGTATTTTCCTTTTCAAAGGAATTTTCTTTTCCTTCTAGATGGCTAGTTCAAATCCGGAGAAGGTCAGTTGTCATAGAAATTATTAGCAGGACCAGCCGTTCGGTGTTGTACGTGAAATGAGTTGGGAGTTTCATTCACACAAGATACGGCTTTCTAAGTGGCACTAATTGGCTGTCTAATTGTCACCCACAGGAGAAAGGCAGAGGATTGATTAGGCGTGGAGACTGATGCCCCTCTGCCGTCCCGCTCGGCGCTGGGTTCCTGGAGCTCGTTCTGTAGGCGTGCTGGCAGGGTAATGAGGGGCAGCCTGCTTTGGATTTTCTGGCTGTCAAGCCAGCACCTTTTCCTGCCAGCCCTTTTCAGGGGAACTTGTTTTACTCCACCAAGGTCAAAGATAGCATCTTTTACAAACACTGCCTTCACTCAAAAATCGGAGCCTTGTAGGATTTCCTTCTGAGAAGCCACGGGTTTTAACCATTTCTTTTACTTACCCCTAAAACAAAGTTTTTAGTGTAAAATAAGATGAGTCATACTGGTGCTAGGCAGAACTGCTACAGCAAGCATATGGGAGTTTATGGTGCTCAGAAATCTGTTCATATTTCCTTTTACTGTCTCAGTGTCTGATGCTGTGATATACAGGCTCCTGGAGGTACTTGCCATGGCACAGGGAAACACATTTTGTGCATTTAGCTCCTGATGAATGGATCTTCCTATCAAACAGTGAGGCCTCTCACCTGCAAAAATACATTTTGAGCAATATCTTTCCTCCTGAGCTATGCTATAGGTCACACTGTGCAATGCGTTACTACTCAACTTTGGAGTAGGATAGCTTTCTCTGGCATAGAACTAAATTATTAAAGTTTGACTCACTGAAGAAGGAAATTTAGGAGCTAATTTGTGATGTGAAAGTCAGGACTACACATAGAAAAAAAAGGAGCAAAACTTCCTTGTATATGCTAACGTACGTAGACCTGACTATGGGACTCAGTTTTAAAGGAGTTGTGCTCACATTTTAGTGCCCTTGCTGTATCAGATGAACAATATTAGTAAGAACTGTGTCTCTCCTTTCAGCCACACAGCTAATCAGTGCGTACAGCGTTCCGTAATTTACTGTTGAAACATTCTGTATTTCTGTAACATATAAATATTTAGTCTCCTATCCCCCTCCTTCCCTGCACCAAAAGCAGAAACAGGACAGAGACCGTTTCTGTGTTTCACTCTGTGTGCCTCCTCTCTCTGACACACGCATCACTTCTTCAGGGTTCTTCCTAAAGTCACAATCTCCCGTAAATTGATTGAAAACAAATGCAGGTACCAGCTACGCATCGAAAAGGTCTAACGCACCTGCCAGGTAGTTTCCTCTCCACTAGTCTGTGGAAGATGAGCACGTACGAGACCCTTTAGCTTTTTAACCACCCTATGCTTAGAATTTATTTTCCAAGAAATGCAGAGCAATCTTTGCACAGTTTCAGACGGTATATTTTGTGACTAGCGTTTCGTAAGCGATGTTTTGCTTAATGATCTAACATCTGTTCTAGGAGGTTTGTTTTTGTAACTTCCCCACCTCCTGCTG